ATTTGCAGCAGAACAATGGGAGGAGAGGGTGGGGCTTGGAAGAGACAAAATTTTTACTCACAAAGCATTTAGACCCTTAAAAGGCATTTGCTTGTCTGGTTATAAACTTCCCCTTCTGACTTCTATGGAGTCAGAAAGGGCCCAGCTGCAGTTCTTGGCGCTGGAAAACTTACGTGCAATGTAATCGGGTGATCTATCCACCGATGACACTAGATCAACTGCAGAAAATCCAAGCAAACTTTCCCGGTGTTGCACAGGATCCAAAATAGATATTTGGATCCAAACAATCTAGACTAGGAATGTCCAACCTTGGCAACTTTAAGACCTGTGGACTTCAACTCCCAGAATCCCACAGCCAGCCATGCAGATCTTGGCAGGGGTGGGCAACTATGGCCCTTTGAGACTCAAGGACTTCTACTCTGACTTCCCGAGCCAGCATGGAGTTGAAATCCAGAGTCGCAGAGGGGCCATAGTTGCCCACCCTGATCCCATGGCATTTGAATGGGGAGCCTTTGAACTGATTTCAGAGAAAACACTGCAGATCAGTGCCAACATGGGAATACCTGTTTGTAATGCCAACATCTGTAGAGTGGCCTTTTGTCCTGCACTTTGATTTGAATTCTCCTCTGCAGCTCCTGCTTAAGATTCACACCAGTGTGTGCCTTTGAAGTTTTGGCAAGACAAATGGTGGCCGTGGCTGCCCTGGGCTGGACACACACACACACACACACACACACACACACACACACACACACACACACTGAATGCCGAGATCCTGCGGAGGAGCTGTGAAGGAGAGTCTTGCAGTCCCCAAAGTGCATTTCCTGTCTGGGAGAGCTGCCAAAAACTAATTGGTTTCCCCAGCAAAACCCATTATGATTAGTCTTGTACTGCTAACTTTAATAAACTTGGAACATCTGCTTCCAAGATGGCCGAGGAGGCCCCAGTGTTGCACACTCTTTGCACAAACCTTGCACATTCCGGTTGATCCCGTAGTTATGTGCAGGAGGGGAAAAGATTCCGTTTACACAGGCTGACATACTTTATTTATTATTCAGGGAAAACCAATTCTCTTTCTAAAGCCCAGAAAGGGTGGTATTCTCAGAACCGTTCTTATTGCAATACCAACTTTATTTACGGAGGGGGCAACACGGCTTGTGGTTTGGAGAAGGGCTGAACCTCAGTCATGGAGCCTCGGGGGTATCTTCAGAAGACCCCACCCTCAGCTTTAGCTCCTCCAAGGCGATGGGGAAATATTCCTGATAGCCCAGCAGTGCAAGCTGATGTGTTTTATGCTTTCTCCCCACTCACTACAAACTCCTTTCTGGTTTCCTCCCTTTCTTCTCTGATAGTTCTCTATATTCCATGCAGAATGCTTTTAGCAGGCATCTGACATGCTTGCAAATTTGAAAATCTGAAAGAGTCACAAACAGCTTCTTCTGACACTTTGGTTAGAAATGCCACTCCAGCACTTGCGCAACTGGCGTCCTCTCTCCAAAGAGATGCTTGGAGGCTGTCATGCTAAAAAGAAGTCACTTCCCGTCTCTGCCCAGATCCACAGCACAGACCGAGTCAGGCTGTGCTCCACAAGGCTCCCGCTGCCTCAATTGGTGTGCAATTCACAGCTGTCAACTCCAACTTCAGCCCCTTAGCTTTGAATTCTATGGGACTTATTTCTGCCTCTCGATATCTACCGGCCACAGGACCAAAGGAAGGAAGAGAATATCTCATTCAGAAATAATGCAGTGGACAACAAGGTTCAGCAGGAGACCTCTTGGTGGCTTCCTTACTGGTCATGCCTGGGATTGAGTCCCACCACTCGCTGTTGGTCATCCTCTTTTTTGCGCTTTCCTTTCATTTCCCCAGCATTATAGACTTCTCAAGCCAGAACTCTACACTGACCGATCCCATGTCATCAGGTTGATGGTGGCTGTTAGTGACCACAGAGGTAGATGTTCTCCAGGAGGGTCGGTCCCCAACATGGTCTTCAGGTTTCCCAACAGGGCACCCTCATCACTTGTTGCTGTTCAGCCTCTTCTTCTCTCTCCTTCCGCTTTCAGACAATGTGTTGAGATAATTTGAGCCTGGTCCTCCGTGCCTTGAGAGAGAATTCGGGGCTGATTTGCTCAATAATCAGTTTATTGGTTTGCTTGGCTGTCCATCACATTCATTCCCAGGAGTCTCCTCCAACACCAAAGCTCTCCTTGTCCTCCCTGAACTTCTTTATATCACACGGAGACGGTTCCTCCTTTTGTGCTCTCACCACTTCCTCCAAGGAACACAGTGTCACGACTCGGACTCAGCCCTGCCAAGAGATGAAGAGATGTCCTGCTCCCCGTGGCTGTTGAAGTCATTAAAACCACGAGGCTCCTGGGACGGGATTCCAGAGTGGAAATTCACCCAGATCTATAACTGAAAGGGATGATGAATCAATTTTATATGCCTGCAATTTTCGGTCCAATGCTGTGAATGAATACAGCTGGAATCTGGCCATCCCAATTACAAAATACACGAGGCATGAAGACGGGGGTTGCCGATTCCAATTTGGTGCCTTTCCAAGCTCCGTTTGGATGGGATTCCTGTGGGCCAAGGCTCCTAGAACCAGCCCTGGCTCTCAAGCAGGAAATGGTCTTCCTGGAAACATCCACCAGTTTTTCTTCCAGTTTTCCTCCCCAAATTCCCAGGCAGGTATCCTCAGACCCCCAAATCTCCAGGCTCCTGAGACTGAAAATAAGCTCGGCTGAGGAGAGACCAAAAACGTGAAAGAGGGGAAGAATTGAACAACGGCAGCCGGTGCCCCTCTGCTCCTGCGACCCCAATGGGGAGCTCTGGTGCTCCTCTACCTTGGCAGCTTTAAGATGGGTGATCCCTGGAGGTAACGCTGCTGCCTGCTTAGAGCACCGCCTTCTTGATGTGGGGCAGGCAGTGAGCTCCAATGGCCTTTTCCTGACACGGTTTGGACACCCAGCCTAGTGGGCGCGTGGCTTCAAGATGTCCCCCACTTGTTGGTTCCTCAGCTAGGGGGCAAAACTGCACCTGGAATTTCTGTAAGCGGAGTTCTGCATTTGTGACAATGTGCAGGAGTTTCGTTCCTAGAAGTACTCTTACAAAGGCCAGGTAATTCATGATGTTGCGCTTGCGCTTGCTTGACAGGATGCTCAACGTAGGTACAATGCACTCAATTAGTTTGATTTTCTCTGTCTGCACACAGTTACGCCAAGATGCATTGTGGCTCCTCTGAGTCTCAGTGTTTGCAGACTTTGGATGGATTAAATGGCCTTTTTCTACAGCTGCCAGCAGGTGGAGCTGTTGACCCAGGCAAAGATCTGGCACATCCTTGCCAGCTTGCTGCCTTTGCCACAAAAGAGGAAAAGAAGAGGACACAATTTCCTGCTCTTTAGGCTTTTCCAAGGAATCTCCTGTGTTGCTAAGAGGCCTCTCTCTCCTTGCCAAACAGCTCAGCCCTCTGCCGGAGGAGCTCAGGAGCTGGAAATAAAAGCAGCCAATCTGACAGACCTGAAAGAGAGGAAGGGGGTCCTGAGCCCACCTGGGTCTGTTGCCAGCCACCCCTCTTGGAAGTGGCTGAGGCTTCTCCGGCCTCTGGGAAGCGCAGAGAGCATCTTGTGGCTGTCCCAGGTAGCAGAGCAGACACCTTGCCCAGGAAACGGGGCTGCTGACAAAGGAGGGGCAACTTCGTCCCATAAGAAACCAGGGTGTGGCAGTCGAACAGGTGCCGGCTCTCTTTAAAGAGCTGAGTGATCCATCGGTGCCATTTCTAGGGCCAGGCAATCCAGTCGGTCAGGGACAGGCTTGGAAGGGGGAAGGGCCCCAATTCAATCCTGGGAAGGGCTGGAAAAACAGCAGGACTCCTGTGGAGCTGCAGGCCAGTCATATAGATTTGGGTGGGTGGATGGGAGAAAGGCACGAAGAAGCTGCAGTGACCGGCAGGCGACGCTGTCCTCTCAGAAAAGATGGGAAACATCTCAGCTCCTTCAGGGCGGTAGGGAGGTCTGTGCTCTGGTGTCCCTGCCTTTGATCTTTCTGGCTCAGAAGGAAACACCCAAGGAAAGGCTCAGGCTCTCCCCCACACAGCTGAAGCCCAGGGGACAGAGTGGAAAGGTCAGAGGGACTTGGGAGATCATTTAGTCCAACCCTCTGGCAAAATCCCTGACTCATGCTCAGCCTCTGCTTAAATATCCCCACTGAAAAAGCCCTTCCTCTCCCGAGGCAGTCTGTTCCAGAGGCCCAGAAAAAACCTTCTTGCCATACATAGCCTGGCTAGGTGGTTCAGTGGTAAGACACTGAGCTTGTTGATCAGAAAGGTTGCTGGTTCGAATCCCTAGTACAGGTCTCCTGCGTGAGCAGGGGGTTGGACTAGATGACCTCCAAGGTCCCTTCCAACTCTGTTAAAAAAATAACCCTTTTATGCCCACTGTTGTCCTTTGGGAGCATCTCTGCATGTCCCCTTTTCTGCACAAGGAGGCCTTTCTGGGGCCCCTTCTGGTGTAAGCGTTCCGGGCAACCCCCCCCCCCCCCCGCAAAGGCCTTCCTTCCCCCATGGAGTGAGGCTCTCTGGACAGGCACCAGCCAGAACAGGGCGCCCACCCACAGGCCTTTGCCCACTCTCCAACCCCACGCTCTCGTTTCCACAGTCCCTGCTAGGAGTCCCCACGGGGGTCCCATCCAGGGATAAACCGAAGGCGGTTTCCCAGCCATTCGCCATGCAAGGCGAGAACGGGCCAAGGGGGCAAGCAGCCAAAAGAGGATTCCTCGCATCGGGGCGGGATCCGGGAGCGCCCCGCCTGCACCCTCCGCCCGGACGCGCTCCAGCTCCGGCCTCCCCCGCGCCGCCCCGCCGCCGCGCGCGCCCCCAGGCTGCGCGCCCCCGAGCCGGTGGGAGACGCCCCCGTCCCGTCCCAGCCCCGTGATTGGGCGGCCGGTGGCGGGCCGGGCATAAAAGGGCGAGCTCGGGGAGGGGGCGGCCACTGCAGAGCCGCCGGCAGCCCCGAGGAAGCCGCTGCAGCGCGTGGGAAGCGGCGTTCCGGAGCCTGAGCAAGTGAGCGAGCGGAGCTGCGCCAGGTAGGCGCCCCTGGTCTCCCCCTGTGGGCTGCGGGGTGGGGGGCAGCCGGCTGCTTCCTCTCTCCGCCCCAGCCAGCCGGGCAAGGCACGACGAGAGGGGCCGTCCCAGGGAGGGAGCCGCGGCGGGGGGCTTTGGCTCGGGGGCAGCTGGGCCGGGGGGGGAGTCCGGCCAGGGGTCTTAACCTTCGCCTCCTCCTCCCCGCAGGCAGCAGCGTTTCCCGCCCCCGATGTGGTTCTTGGAGAAGATGCGGGCGTCCCCCGGAGAAGCCGGCCTGCTGGGCCCCTTGTTCCTCGCTCTGCCCTCCGAGAAGGGCCAGGCGGCCGCCACCCTCGCCTTCCCCAACATCTTGACCCCAGACCGCATCCCGGAGTTCTGCATCCCTCCGCGGCTGAGCAGCCCTCCTCCGCCGGCCAAGAGCCCCAGCCCTGCCTTCCAGCCCCGCCACAGCCTGACTGAGCCCGGCTTGCAGGAGGCGGCCTCCCTCGGCCCCTGCCTCTTCCCACCCCACCTCATCCAGGTGGAGAGCGTGGAGGAGCTCCAGGAGCCGGAGCAGGAGCAGGGCGGCACCAACTCGGACCCCCAGTCGCAGGCTGCCCTCTCTCTGCCCCACGTGCCCAGGACCCAGACCTCCTACGGCTTCTGCATGCTGCTGGAGAGCCCCCACACCCGGAGGAAAGAGTCCATCTTTCACAGCGAGGTCTCGGGCAGCTCCCTGGTCTTGCCCCGGTCCCGGTCCCGTAGCTACGGTGGCAGGGAGCCTGCCTCCAGCCCGGTGGCCATCCGCCGGCACTTCTTCAGCAGGCAAGGCGCCTGGGACAGTGACACGGCCTCCTCCAGCGAGTCCTCGCCCTTCGGCTCACCCCTCTTGGGCAGGTCTCCCACCCGGGCCGGCTGCCTCCTCAAAGCCCGGAGCCAGGAGCGGCTGTTGGCCAAACCCTGGAGGGCCCGGAGGCTGTCCAGTACCACCCGGGCCGGCTCCCTGTCTTTGGACGAGGGCAGTTCCACGGACAGCAGCCCCGGGTCTCCGCGATGCTCTTCGGAAAGCCCCCTGCCCCCGCCGGCCTCCAGCCTCCTCCCCCTGCCTGCCTTCCCCCTGGACTATCCCTGTGGTCGAGAGCGGCTGGGCAGGGAAGCCACCGTGGTGATGGACAAGGGGGGGCTGCTGCGCCTCTCCTCCGAGCACTGCCCCACCAACCAGCGCCTCCGCATCCGGCTGATCAGTGTGGAAGGACTCTACCGGGAGGCCCCCCTGGAGCCCAAGAGCATCAACTGCTGCATCACCTTCTCGCTCCTGCCGGGGAAGGTCCAGAAGCAGCGCAGCACCGTCATCAAGCGGAGCCGCAACCCCATCTTCAACGAGGACTTCTTCTTTCTCGGCGTCTCCGAGGACCACCTGCGCCGGCTCTCCCTCCGGATGAAGGCTTTGAACAAAGGGGGGAACATGAAGAGGGACCTGGTTTTGGGGGAGAGCGAAGTGCCTTTGATGCAGATTTTAGCCACCTGACAAACTCGGAGACACCACCACCACCAACCCCCGCCCCGAGATCTATTTATTTATTTATTTATTCTCTGTATTTTTTTTAATAAAGTAGAATTTTATTTAAATATGCACACCTGTCTTTGGTTCCTGAATCACAGGGGATCATGCTTTTGGATTGCAGGCCTGGAGTTCAACTTGAATCAGGCCCTCTCACCAGGTCACTCGGGCTGATTCCAGAGTTGCACACCCAGGACTGGAGCTAAGACTCCCTTAAATGAGAACGTAAAAATGTTTACCTAGTTCTAAAGTGGGAGGCTTTGGTGTATCTGCGTAAGGTGGTGAAGGGAGCTCTTGGCTGACTGTTGATGGAGCAGAAGCTGGGGTGCTTCACCAGGCCTCGTTCCATCTTAAATGGGTCTCTGATGGCCTCGACCTGCGAGCATAAGGAGGCCTCGTTTCCTTCATTTGTGGCCTCAAGGAGCAAGTGAAACTGAGCAGAGGAAGTAATCCAGCCTCCGAGGCAGAGGCATAAATCTGTCTTCTGAATATACTCATTTTCTGTGGCTCCCTGGGGGACCCAGCCATGCTGCCGCTCTTCTCAGCAAAGGAAACCGTTCTTCCTGACCCGCTTGGCCAAAGCTCTCGGAAAGGGTGGAGGGGGATTTTCCCAGCCACTAGAGCAGCTTTCCACCTATCACTCTTCCCTTGACAAGGCAGCTGGTATTTCCAGGGAGAATCCGCGGACACCCGTGTAGCATTGGGACACAGCTCGTTGTCCTGGGCACTTTTTTCTGGAAAGCCCCCAGAGCACCCCCAAAACAAAGAAGCCCAAGGCCTTCCAGAGCCCCCCTGCCCCCCCTCCCCCAAGAGGCTCTCCTTAGAGACAAAAGTTTGAAAGAGAAGTACGGAAGCTGTGGCAATTCCTCCTGCTGCCTGTCTGACTCCCAGAGAAGGTACCCTGGGCTGGGTGAAGGTGGGTAAAGGGATGGAGTTCACCTGGTGGAGAATCCCCCTCCCCCCACCTTGGAGAAAGGAACAGGCGCTCAACGGCTTGAGCTGAGCATCTGCTTTGTGGGCAGCAACAGAGCTCCCCGGCACTCTGAAAGCGTCGCAGAAAGAGCGGTCGAAGTGCTGAGATCCATAGGTGGAGATCAATTGAAAGCCCCGGCTCCATCTCTTTTGCCACATGCAGGCTGGCGTGAGAAGGAAGTCGCTCGAGAGGGCTCCTTCCCAGGTCCCTGGCCGGCTCCTTCCTTGGGCTAGCTTGCTTTCGGCATCGTGCAAGTGGCCCTGGGCAGGTCTTGGGGCTTTCTGAGAACATTCGTCCTGCAGTGTTGTTTCCATCAATGCAGCTCTTCATAGCTCTGGGGGTGCATCCAGGGGGAGCTATATGGGCATCAGAAAAGGTAGCACTGACCGAATAACTTGGGGGGGGGCTTCTGCTGATAAACAGCACCCAGGTGTGCAAATGAGAGGATCCAAAGTTGAGGTTGGAAAGGTGAGGGCCTGGCAGGTCCCAGAGGGCATGAATGGCATGGGCCAGCCCTGAGATGTCAATCAGGAACCGGCTGTGGGGAAGGGGCCAAGGGCCAAGTCCTGCTCAGGGGGTCCCAGCTGTTGCGGGATGGGAAAGGCTTTGGTCCGATCCAGCTGTTCGGCTCCACAGAGCTCTGAACTGCCCAGCATGAACCTCAGATGATCTTGAAGGAAACGGTGCTCAGGTCCTTTCAACTCCCGAGGAAACACTGCGTGGCCGATTTACACACTCACCCCCACCCTGCCTTTATTTATCTGGGTTCTTGCAACCTTTCCTAGAAAAACTCTCGAAAAGGGCAGCTTGACAAACAAAGACTCCAGTGTAAGAAAGCTCATGCAGGCGGTTGCCAGGCTACTAATTACAACCTAGCAGAGGAAAAGATTGTGTGTGTGTGTGTGTGAGAGAGAGAGATGAATCCTGCCTGGGAAGAAGAAGGAGAAGGACACGCCAGAGCCTCAGCCCTGTGCAGGGCAGAGGTGCTTCCCCCGACACATGCAAGGAGCATCTCCTTTCTCGGGGAGGAAGGCCAAGGGAACCGAGTCCTGCTGAGCCCAGGAGCCTCCCAGGAAGAGCCTTTCCAGACGAGCTTCCTTGCAGATGTTTGGCGACCTTGATTTCCAGGATCCCAGCTTTATAGTCCCAGCTGACAAGCACAGACCGGGTGGGCAAAGGTGGTCCACGGAGGCCAGGACCCCTCTCCTCCTTCATCCCCTCTAAGATTCAGGCCCACTTCAGCCTCCAGCCCCTTCTTTCTAAAGCTGCTGCCTTTTTGTAAGGCTTCTCTGCTTCCTTTCTAATGTCAGGGTTTTTTTGGCAGCTGCTTCAAAAGGAAGTCATTCTTTCCAAGGAAAATCCTCACACAATTCCCACTAGCAACATTAATCGAGAGGAAGCGGATGGGGCTCCAGGAATTTCAGCAACCAAATTATTTTCTATTTCGAAACGGTTTACATTGGGCTGCAGACTTTCTTGGCTTTCAGCGACCTTCCTGGAACCTGGCAAAGATTTGGTCCTTTTGCTGATAACAGGAAAGCCTGCAGCAGGTGGCTGGCACAAATCTTGCCTCAACTTTCATCGGACCGAGAATGATTACGATATTCATCCCGTTTTTCCTTAATGGCACGACAATGGCTACCAAACAGGCTTGCCCCAGTCTTAAATGTAAAAGAGCTTCTGATTGATCCCCAGAAATGGCGAGTTTGGTAGGCTCTAGAAACGAGCCCTTTCTCTGCTGGCTGGCAGCATATATTATCTCCAGGGGAAGTAAGATGGCCGGCTGCTCCATCCATACTGGTGTTTTAAAGAAAGCCTTAAAAGCCAATTTCCCTCGAGAGACCTTTAACTGAGGTATTGTACTGTTCTGAAGGTTGGAGGTGGTGGTTTTCTGGAGCGATTTTGCTTCCAAGGGGTCCTGAGATTTGCCTAGTTTTGCTCCTGCAGGATTCGTTCTTATAGCTAGCTGCATCGGAAGATGCCAAGCAGTTTCAAATGAGGCTACGTATTCAGGATTGGAGTGATCAGAGCCAGTAAAAAAGCAGCCTGCAAAACTAGATTTGTTCATTCTTGGTTCAAAAGCACGTCAACACCAGCAGCTACTGAAGCAAGGAGAAGAGTAGAAAGAGGATGGGGTGGCAGCGATAACAGGGGGCTCCATGAATGATCCACCCCCTGCATGCTGTGGTGCCAGGCAGGAAGTGCCAGCGGAGCAAACAGCCAGCATAAGGAAGGGGCATGCTTGCCACTGGACTTTTTCCTATTCATGTATGGGATCCACCCAATAGTGGGTTTCAATTTTGGCTGCTACCAGTTTGCTCGTGGGTGCACGCGCACGCGCACGCGATGCCTCTGCACATGCACAGAGATGTCCGGGCGGGTGGGTGGAGCCTCCCGCCACCACTGCTACCGGTTTGCCTGATCCAGGGCGAACTAGTAGCAACCCACCACTAGATCCCTCTGGAAAAAACGGCAGGAATATGTTTGCCGATTGCATGTGCACACAGCAGGGTGCCTGAGTCAGCCTCCCCCATCCCCCCCCTCAGTTGAACACTTAAGGGAGATCTGACCCGCCTTCCCCAACCAGCGGGGTGGGCTGCAGTGCCTGGGCACAAGGAAGAGAAAATAATGGCTTTTTTGAGGTGAACTCAGAAATCTAACCAGGGTTGGACCAAGGATGGAGGACCAGCAACTCAGGGCAGATGCCAGCTGTGGACGACGACAATGACGACAATCAGTCTGTCAATCAATCACTCCTGAGAAAAAGCAAAAGTATTCTTGCCAACTAGCAGATAAGTCAGTGGTGATCCTGAATTGCCCTCCCCTCAGAGAATACCCCTCCCACTGGCACACTGACTTGGCCCCCAGCCCTAAGTGCCTCAGGGGCATCCACACCTCACAGCAAGAGTCAGAGATTCTGAAAGTGGACGTTACAGGTGTGAAGCATTCCCTGGCAGGCTTGATTTTTGCTCAGTGTGCTGTAGAAAAGCTACTTTAACTTTTAGACCCACTTTACATATGCTGCTTTTAGTAGCCCTTGAATCCATTTTTCCAGAAAGAACATGGATGGTTTTGCATGAATACACAAAAAACAGATGATACAGATGTTGTCCCTCGGCTGCCCAGCAATTCTGCATGCCAGGTCTACGGTGGACAAAATGTTCCAGCTCCTTCCTTGGCTGAGAAGGTGCAATGCCGTTTCCTGTAGCTTGTCCTTCGCTCTCCTGTATGAATGGAGATGCGGCTGAAGGGTATGAAAAGGGAAACTGATGCTGAAGTAGGAAGGTGGCAAGTCACACCGAGAAGCTGCAAACTTTGAGCAGGCAGCCCAGCTGCATCAGTGAGACAAACAGACTAATTATTAACTTTCATCAGGGCCTCTTCCGGCCCATCCTGAAAATATTATTCAGGAAAATGCCACGTAACATCCATCTATTCCTTCTGCATTGGATTAAGAGCTTCTCCTGCCCCAGAATGACGGTTACAAAAGGGCGAAAGTATCCCCAAATGATGACAGGGAATGTCCTTTCCCATCTTCCCTGCCCTCCCCCCCCCGCCTCTTTGTTGGCTTGATAGGAAGTGGGACAAGGCAGTCTTCCAGGGCCAACAGCTTCTTTTGGAACCAAGACTCGGATTTGCCTGGGAGTCACCCTGGAGTCTGGCCTTCCCAGTCCCTCGGAAGAAGAGAGTGGTTTGCACATCCTTCCATTTCCTGGAAACAGGCAGCTCCCTCTCTCCCTCTCTCCCCTGCTCATCCAAGAGTCGTTTCCAAAAGAGTAAGGAAAGCTGGGCTCCATCATCTCAGGGCACTTAGTAAATCTGGTTGGAGAAACGTCCTTGAGACTCGTGGCTGGGATGGGCTCAGCTGTTGTCCAGAGTTTGACGTAACGGGCCACCCTCTATAAAGAACTGGATTTAGTTGTAATGGAATTAAAGAGGACTGCTCTCAAGGCATTTCAGAGGTGTTCCCTTCCTGGCACATGGAACAGGATTCTCCCCTAGCAAATCTGGAAAGAGCCCCTGCAGTTCAGAACCTCTCGTGTACCGGCTTGGATTCCCTGACAAGACGTCCCTCATGGGCGGTTGGGGAATAGCCCCCCC